GAGGTCTGTCAGACCTGACAGAGGTATGTGAGACCTGACAGAGGTTTGTAGGAGCTGACAGAGATATATGGAACCTGACAGACGTCTGACAACCCTGGCCGAGATCTGTCAGAGACCTGATTGAGGTCTGTCAGACCTGACAGACATCTGTGGAACCTGACAAAGGTATTTGGGACATGAGAGAGGTATGTGGGACCTGACAGAGGTACGTGCGACCTAACATAGGTCTGTCACACCTGACAGAGGTATGTGGGACCTGACTGTGGTATGTAAGACCTGTCAGAGGCCTGTAGGAGCTGACAGAGATATGCGGAACCTCACAGACCTCTGACAACCCTGGCCGAGGTCTGTCAGAGACCTGATTGAGGTCTCTTAGACCTGACAGAGGTCTGTCAGACCTGACAGAGGTATGTGAGACCTGACAGTGGTCTTTAGGAGCTGACAGAGACATGTGGAACCTGACAAATTTCTTACAACCCTCCTATGTGGACCCTCCCTGTCTGTAGGAGCTGACAGAGATATATGGAACCTGACAGACGTCTGACAACCATGGCCGAGGTCTGTCAAAGACCTGACTGAAGTCTCTCAGACCTGACCGAGGTCTCTCAGACCTGACAGAGGTCTGTCAGACCTGACAGAGGTATGTAAGACCTGTCAGAGATCTGTAGGAGCTGACAGAGATAAATGGAACCTGACAGACGTCTGACAACCCTGGCCGAGGTCTGTCAAAGACCTGAATGAAGTCTCTCAGACCAGACCGAGGTCTGTCAGATGTGACAGAGGTATGTGAGAACTGACAGAGGTCTGTAGGAGCTGACAGAGATATGTGGAACATGACAGACGCCTGACAAACCTGGCCGAGGTCTGTCAGAGACCTGACTGAGGTCTCTCAGACCTGACTGAGGTCTGTCAGACCTGACTGAGGTCTGTCAGACCTGACTGAGGTCTGTCAGACCTGACAGAGGTATGTAAGATCTGTCTGAGGTCTGTAGGAGCTGACAGAGATATATGGAACCTGACAGACATCTGACAACCCTGGCTGTAGTCTGTCAGAGACCTGACTGAGACCTTTCAGATCTGACCGAGGTCTCTTAGACCTGACCGAGGTCTCTCCGACCTGACTGAGGTCTGTCAGACCTGACAGAGGTATGTGAGACCTGACAGAGGTTTGTAGGAGCTGACAGAGATATATGGAACCTGACAGACGTCTGACAACCATGGCCGAGGTCTGTCAGAGACTTGACTGAGGTCTCTCAGACCTGACTGAGGTCTCTCAGACCTGACTGAGGTCTGTCAGACCTGACAGAGGTAATAAGACCTATCTGAGGTCTGTAGGAGCTGACAGAGATATATGGAACCTGACAGACATCTGTCAACCCTGACCGTAGTCTGTCAGAGACCTGACTGAGATCTCTCAGACCTGACCGAGGTCTCTCAGACCTGACCGAGGTCTCTCAGACCTGACCGAGGTCTCTCAGACCTGACCGAGGTCTCTCAGACCTGACCGAGGTCTCTCAGACCTGACCGAGGTCTCTCAGACCTGACCGAGGTCTGTCAGACCTGACAGAGGTGTGTGAGACCTGACAGAGGTCTGTAGGAGCTGACAGAGATATATGGAACTTGACAGACGTCTGACAACCCTGGCCGAGATCTGTCAGAGACCTGATTGATGTCTGTCAGACCTGACAGACGTCTGTGGGACCTGACAAAGGTATGTGGGACATGACAGAGGTATGTGGGACCTGACAGAGGTATGTGGGACCTGACAGAGGTACGTGCGACCTAACATAGGTCTGTCACACCTGACAGAGGTATGTGGGACCTGACTGAGGTATTTAAGACCTGTCAGAGGTCTGTAGGATCTGACAGAGATATGCGGAACCTGACAGACCTCTGACAACCCTGGCCGAGGTCTGTCAGAGACCTGATTGAGGTCTCTTAGACCTGACTGAGGTCTGTCAGACCTGACAGAGGTATGTCAGACCTGACAGAGGTATGTAAGATCTGTCTGAGGTCTGTAGGAGCTGACAGAGATATATGGAACCTGACAGACATCTGACAACCCTGGCTGTAGTCTGTCAGAGACCTGGCTGAGATCTTTCAGATCTGACCGAGGTCTCTTAGACCTGACCGAGGTCTCTCCGACATGACTGAGGTCTGTCAGACCTGACAGAGGTATGTGAGACCTGACAGAGGTCTGTCAGACCTGACAGAGGTATGTAAGACCTGTCAGAGATCTGTAGGAGCTGACAGAGATAGATGGAACCTGACAGACGTCTGACAACCCTGGCCGAGGTCTGTCAAAGACCTGAATGAAGTCTCTCAGACCAGACCGAGGTCTGTCAGATGTGACAGAGGTATGTGAGACCTGACAGAGGTCTGTAGGAGCTGACAGAGATATGTGGAACATGACAGACGCCTGACAAACCTGGCCGAGGTCTGTCAGAGACCTGACTGAGGTCTCTCAGACCTGACTGAGGTCTGTCAGACCTGACTGAGGTCTGTCAGACCTGACAGAGGTATGTAAGATCTGTCTGAGGTCTGTAGGAGCTGACAGAGATATATGGAACCTGACAGACATCTGACAACCCTGGCTGTAGTCTGTCAGAGACCTGACTGAGACCTTTCAGATCTGACCGAGGTCTCTTAGACCTGACCGAGGTTTCTCCGACCTGACTGAGGTCTGTCAGACCTGACAGAGGTATGTGAGACCTGACAGAGGTTTGTAGGAGCTGACAGAGATATATGGAACCTGACAGACGTCTGACAACCCTGGCCGAGATCTGTCAGAGACCTGATTGAGGTCTGTCAGACCTGACAGACATCTGTGGGACCTGACAAAGGTATTTGGGACATGAGAGAGGTATGTGGGACCTGACAGAGGTACGTGCGACCTAACATAGGTCTGTCACACCTGACAGAGGTATGTGGGACCTGACTGTGGTATGTAAGACCTGTCAGAGGCCTGTAGGAGCTGACAGAGATATGCGGAACCTCACAGACCTCTGACAACCCTGGCCGAGGTCTGTCAGAGACCTGATTGAGGTCTCTTAGACCTGACAGAGGTCTGTCAGACCTGACAGAGGTATGTGAGACCTGACAGTGGTCTTTAGGAGCTGACAGAGACATGTGGAACCTGACAAATTTCTTACAACCCTCCTATGTGGACCCTCCCTGTCTGTAGGAGCTGACAGAGATATATGGAACCTGACAGACGTCTGACAACCATGGCCGAGGTCTGTCAAAGACCTGACTGAAGTCTCTCAGACCTGACCGAGGTCTCTCAGACCTGACAGAGGTCTGTCAGACCTGACAGAGGTATGTAAGACCTGTCAGAGATCTGTAGGAGCTGACAGAGATAAATGGAACCTGACAGACGTCTGACAACCCTGGCCGAGGTCTGTCAAAGACCTGAATGAAGTCTCTCAGACCAGACCGAGGTCTGTCAGATGTGACAGAGGTATGTGAGAACTGACAGAGGTCTGTAGGAGCTGACAGAGATATGTGGAACATGACAGACGCCTGACAAACCTGGCCGAGGTCTGTCAGAGACCTGACTGAGGTCTCTCAGACCTGACTGAGGTCTGTCAGACCTGACTGAGGTCTGTCAGACCTGACTGAGGTCTGTCAGACCTGACAGAGGTATGTAAGATCTGTCTGAGGTCTGTAGGAGCTGACAGAGATATATGGAACCTGACAGACATCTGACAACCCTGGCTGTAGTCTGTCAGAGACCTGACTGAGACCTTTCAGATCTGACCGAGGTCTCTTAGACCTGACCGAGGTCTCTCCGACCTGACTGAGGTCTGTCAGACCTGACAGAGGTATGTGAGACCTGACAGAGGTTTGTAGGAGCTGACAGAGATATATGGAACCTGACAGACGTCTGACAACCCTGGCCGAGATCTGTCAGAGACCTGATTGAGGTCTGTCAGACCTGACAGACACTGACAAAGGTATTTGGGACATGACAGAGGTATGTGGGACCTGACAGAGGTACGTGCGACCTAACATAGGTCTGTCACACCTGACAGAGGTATGTGGGACCTGACTGTGGTATGTAAGACCTGTCAGAGGCCTGTAGGAGCTGACAGAGATATGCGGAACCTCACAGACCTCTGACAACCCTGGCCGAGGTCTGTCAGAGACCTGATTGAGGTCTCTTAGACCTGACAGAGGTCTGTCAGACCTGACAGAGGTATGTGAGACCTGACAGTGGTCTTTAGGAGCTGACAGAGACATGTGGAACCTGACAGACTTCTTACAACCCTCCTATGTGGACCCTCCCTGTCTGTAGGAGCTGACAGAGATATATGGAACCTGACAGACGTCTGACAACCATGGCCGAGGTCTGTCAAAGACCTGACTGAAGTCTCTCAGACCTGACCGAGGTCTCTCAGACCTGACCGAGGTCTCTCCGACCTGACCGAGGTCTGCCAGACCTGACAGAGGTATGTCAGACCTGACAGAGATATGTGAGACCTGACAGAGGTCTGTAGGAGCTGACAGAGATATGTGGAACCTGACAGACTTCTGACAACCCTGGCCGAGGTCTGCCAAAGACCTGACTGAGGTCTTTCAGACCTGACCGAGGTCTGTCCGACCTCAGTCTGACTGCCCCATGTTAACTGCCCCAGTTAACAGTTGACTGCCCCATGTTAACTGTTGACTACCCCTGCCCCACTGTTAACGGTACCTGGAGTCGTCTATTGCATTCCATTTCGCACTGTTAACGGTACCTGGAGTCGCCCCTGCCGCACTGTTTACGGTACCTGAAGTCGCCTCTGCCCTGCCCTGCCCTGCCCTCTTGTCAGCTCCTGTCAGCTCTCTAAGTCAGCTCTGCTCTGCTCGCTCTGCTCTGCCCCGCCTTGCTCTGCTCTGCTCGCTCTGCTCTGTCAGCTCTGCTGTACACTGCTCTGCTCTGTTAGCTCTGCTCTGTGTACTCTGTCTTGTCTGTGTGTACATTACAAGCTGACCTTCCCGTGACCTCTCGCCGGCAGCACGCTGCATGGCTACGAGGAGTCGGTTTCGTGCCTGTCGTTCGGCGGTTCGGCCGGTGTGCTGGTCTCCGGCTGTCTGGGCGGCGAGCTGCGTCTTTGGCGACCCCATTCGGGACGCACCACACTGCTGGCCCTACAGCAGATGGCACACCGCCTGGGTGTTACCTGTTGCCATAATCTATTATCCATCAGCAAACCATATGTACTCGTATGTTTTCTTTCTGAATAAAAATGTGCCTTGGCAAGTAAATCGGAACATCTTTCAATGTATCAGTGTTGTTCGACGCAAAGCCTGATCACAATCCAGCGGAAAAGGCTATACCACTCTACACTGGGGCTCCACACGATTCCCACGCCTGCTAGGGGGAGGGCTGCTGAACAGTGAACACGCCCCCCCCCCCCATTTCCAACTCAACTCCTGGACAACAACGGGTGTTGGGAGTATTAGAACGGGTATTAGAACGAAAGAGTTAGAAGCTGGTGCTGCTGATGTCTGTAACTCCCCCCTCCCTATTCAGGAGCTGATGTCCTCCAACGGCGGAGTGGGTGGTGGCGCCGCAGGGTCGATGGAAGGGGACAAAAGAGCGCGCGGCGTGTGACACCAGCATTCGACGTTTATTGCAACAATCCTTGTTACAACGGCGACAATCAGACGCTATCTGTGATACACCCACCCACACAATCTGCGCTGCACACGCACCCAAACAAACACAGACATGCACGAGGAGCGAACAGGACATTATCGATGGTCTAACGCAGGCCCGCGCGGAGACGTTGACTGTACATTCATAACATCCATCCTAGCGCGCTATTCCACTGATGAGCCTGGCGACGGCACTGGGCCGGTCCCTCGAGCCGTCGGCCTGGAAGTAGGTACCGACCTTGTATCAGAAGGCCGGCGACTTTCCGAGCTGGCGCACTTCCGCGCCGTAATTTGATGCCTCTTACGTCCCTACACTCTACAGAGTACGCGCTGCACTGCAGCATCATAGGACAACGCCGTCGGCGGGATCAGCACGGGCCCCCAGCGGCACGCGCTGTCCGTCCCCAGCGATAAATAAAGCCTCGGCTCCGCGCCGGAGCGGGTGGCCGGCCGGCTCTCGGTCAGCGAGGTATCACATACGTGTCCCGCGGCCGTCTGAGTCCGCCGGCGGCCTCCATCACTGCGTCGCCGGGTCGATGGGCACGCCGCCTCCCCCAGCGCGACCGCCGGCCGCACTGCCCGCCTGACGCGGCGCTAACGGATGTGTCCACCGAGAGCTGGTCGGACCGGCATGACGCTTCTTGGCGACCACGAGTGGCTTCCGCGCGCGCCAGCCGCCGGGGCACCACCATGGTGGGATGAGCCACCACCTTTGTTCCTTTGTCCTAGAGGAGTCCTCCGTCAGACTCTGCGGCACACAGCTGGGCTGCCCTCCCGGTCCCGTCACGGCGGCTGTCGATCCGGCGACAAGACGTGACGTGACTGACGGTTGCAGTGACGTGACGGTGGTGTTGACGTGACGTCCACCGCTTCACACCGTTAGCAGGAGCAGCAGCGTTCTGGCTGAACCGTATCACAAATGGCTGCACCGGGCCGGACACACAGTGCGCCAGCCAAACCAATACACAGACGGGCTCCGGCGCCGGGCCGGTCTCGGCGGGTCGTCCGTCTACGAGCTGGTCGACGGAGCCGAGTCAGCGGCCGGGGTCGGCTCGGCAGACGATGAGGACGGCCCGGCAGTCGAGGACGGGCCGGCGCCCTCCTCCGACTCGGCCTCCAGCAACTCCTCGTCCTTCTCCATCAGCTGCCGGGCCAGCTTCACCGCGTAGAACTCGTTGTAGTGCGACTTGCGCTTGGCCTCGAACTGGCGGTGCGCCGCTGTGGGGCAGACGGGGAGGGGGTGTCAGGTACAGGCAGACAGAGGAATGTAGGGGGTGCGTGGGTGTCAGATACAGACAGACAGGAGACGGTAGGGGTGGGGTGACTGGTGACGCGGGACGCACCGTCATCCCGGCGGTCATGACTCACGGGCCCGTCATGCGGCAGCAGTTCGGCCGGTGCAGCCCTGCGCTCCCTGCTGATCGGTCCGAGGATGCCTTGTTGAGTTTGTCGGACCTGACAAAGATCTGTCGAGCCTGACGGAAGTCTGTCAGAGACCTGACTGAGGTCTTTCAGATCTGAACGAGGTCTCTCAGACCTGACCGAGGTCTCTCAGACCTGACCGAGGTCTCTCAGACCTGACCGAGGTCTCTCAGACCTGACCGAGGTCTCTCCGACCTGACCGAGGTATGTCAGACCTGACAGAGGTATGTGAGACCTGACCGAAGTCTGTAGGAGCTGACAGAGATATGTGGAACCTGACAGACGTCTGACAACCCTGGCCGAGGTCTGTCAAAGACCTGACTGAGATATTTCAGGCCTGACCGAGGTCTCTCCGACCTGACCAAGGTCTGCCAGACCTGACAGAGGTATGTGGGACCTGACAGAGGTATGTAAGACCTGTCAGAGGTCTGTAGGAGCTTACAGAGATATGTGGAACCTGACAGACGTCTGACAACCCTGGCCGAGGTCTGTCAAAGACCTGACTGAGGTCTTTCAGATCTGACCGAGGTCTCTCAGACCTGACCGAGATCTCTCCGACCTGACGGAGGTCTGTCAGACCTGACAGAGGTCTGTCAGACCTGACAGAGGTATGTGAGACCTGACAGAGGTCTGTAGGAGCTGACAGAGATATGTTGAACCTGACAGACGTCTGACAACCCTGGCCGAGGTTTATCAAAGACCTGACTGAAGTCTCTCAGACCTGACCGAGGTCTGTCCGACCTGACCGAGGACTGTCAGACCAGACCGAGGTCTGTCAGACGTGACAGAGGTATGTGAGATTTGAGAGAGGTCTGTCAGACCTGACCGAGGTATGTGAGACCTGACAGAGGTCTGTAGGAGCTGACAGAGATATATGGAACCTGACAGACGTCTGACAACCCTGGCCGAGGTCTGTCAGAGACCTGATTGAGGTCTTTCAGATCTGACCGAGGTCTCTCAGACCTGACCGAGGTCTCGCCGACCTGACCGAGGTCTGCCAGACCTGACAGAGGTCTTTCAGATCTGACCGAGGTCTCTCCCAGTCTCACAGACGTCTGACAACCCTGGCCGAGGTCTGTCAGACAACTGACTGAGGTCTCTCAGACCTGAATGAGGCCTGTCAGACCTGACCAAGGTCTGTCCGACTTGCCAGACGTTTGCGAGACCTGACAGAGGTATGAGGGACATGACAGAGGTCTGTTAGACCTATCAGATGTCATATAACTTCAGTCAGGTCTCTGACAGACCTCGGCCAGGTTTGTCAGGCGTCTGTCAGGTTCCATATATCTCTGTCAGCTCCTACAGACAGGGAGGGTCCACATAGGACCTGACAGACCTCGGTCAGGTCGGAGAGACCTCAATCAGGTCTGAGACCTCAGACCGGTCTGAAATACCTCAATCAGGTTTCTGACAGACCTCGGCCAGGGTTGTCAGACTTCTGTCAGGTTCCACATATCTCTGTCAGCTCCTACAGACCTCTGACAGGTCTTACATACCTGTCAGGTCCCACATAGCTCTGTCGGGTCTTACATACCTCTGTCAGGTCCCATATACCTCTGTCAGGTCCCGCAAACGTCTGACAGGTGGGGCAGACCTTGGTCAGGTCTGACAGACCTCAGTCAGATCCGAAAAACCTCAGTCAGGTGCCTGACAGACCTCGGCCAGGGTTGTCAGACGTCTGTCAGGTTCCACATATCTCTGTAAGCTCCTACAGACCTCTGACAGGTCTTGCATACCTCTGTTAGGTCCCACATACCTCTGTCAGGTCACACATACCTTTGTTAGGTCCCACATACCTCTGCCAGGTCGGACAGACTTCGGTCAGGTCGGACAGAGTCGCCCCTGCCCCACTGTTTACGGTACCTCGAGTCACCTCGGTCAGTCATTCCATTCCCCACTGTTGATGGTACCTGGCATCGCCCCTGTCGACAGAGGTCGACAGAGGTTGACAAGGAGCTGACAGGAGCCAGGGCAGGGCAGGGCAGGAGCCAAGGCAGGGCAGGGCAGGGTCGACAGAGGTCGATAAAAGAGGTCGACAGAAGAAGAGGTCGACAGAGGTTGACAGAGATCGACAGAGGTCGACAGAGGTTGACAGAGGTCAACAGTGGTTGACAAGGAGCTGACAGGAGCCAGGGCAGGGCAGGGCAGGGTCGACAGGGGTCGACATGTGTCCACAGAGGTCGACAGAGGTCGAGAGAGGTCGACAGAGGCAGACAGAGGTCTACAGAGGCGGACAGAGCGGACAGAGGCAGATATCAGCAGCACCAGCTCCTGAATAGGGAAGGGGAGTTATACAGGAGCTGACAGGAGCTGACAGGAGGTGACAGGAGCTAACAGGAGAGCGGACAGGAGCCAGGACAGGGCAAGGCAGGAGTCAGGGCAGGGCAGGGCAGGACAGGGTTGACAGAGGTTGACAGAGGTCGACAAGGAGCTGACAGGAGCTGACAGGAGGGCTGACAGGAGGGCTGACAGGAGCTGACAGGAGCCAGGACAGGGCAAGGCAGGGCAGGGTCAACAGAGGTCGACAAGGAGCTGACAGGAGCTGGCAGGAGCCAGGGCAGGGCAGGAGCCAGGGCAGGGCAGGGTCAACAGAGGTCAACAGAGGTCGACAAAAGATGTCGACAGAAGAGGTCGTAAGAAGAGGTCGACAGAGATTGACAGAGGTCGACAGAGGTCAACAAGGAGCTGACAGGAGCCAGGGCAGGGCAGGAGCCAGGGCAGGGCAGGGCATTGGTTGCAGGGTCTACAGAGGTCGACAGAGGTCAACAAGGAGCTGACAGGAGCTGACACGAGCCAGGGCAGGGCAGGGCAGGGCAGGGCAGGGTCAACAAAGGTCGACAGAAGAGGTTGACAGAGGGGTCGACAAGGGATGACAGAGGTGGACATGGTCAACAGGGGTCAACAGGGGTCAACAGAGGCTGACAGAGGCCGACAGTCGCAGACAGAGGCAGACATCAGCAGCACCAGCTCCTGAATAGGGAGGTGGAGGGGGAGTTATAGACATCAGCAGCACCAGCTTCTCACTGGGGAAGGGGGAGTTACAGAAACACCAGCAGCTCCAGCTGAGTCTCCAGCACCACCTGCTACGGCTGGGGATCGATGCACTAGTTCCTCACTGAACAGTGGACACATAACGGGAGGGAAGAATGTTGAGCACACTCAGACGGATCGGATCAGCTGTTGCGGCTCATTTTAAGCAGCGGGCATATGGAACAAGATTGCTCAAATGCTTCAGCAGCCTTAGGCTCTGCATACCAGCAGAGTGGGCGGCTGACATCACCTGGGAATGACGCAGACAGAGCAGCTCTACATCTATGCTGCATATGTCCGAGCTGCCCCCGATTCTAATTGACATTGGCCAGTTAGCTTTGACTAAGTTCATCTCCATTTAAACTGCAGCAGATACCAAAAAGCAGAGGTAGGTGTTAGGTCTCAGTAGGCATTATATTGGGATAAATTAGGACTTCATATTGCATTGCACAGGTAGGTATGTACTTACATGATAAAGTAGATTTTTTGAAGAGGGTGTTATGAGGGCTTTAGGATTGACTAAGCAAGGCTTAATATGTTTCTTTGCAAAAAATATGCAAAGGACTATCCTAGCGTATCAACAGAGCATGCAATCTAATACACAGACCTCACCAAAGTATATAAAAACACTTAAAAACACAATTTAATACACTATAACACACTATATGTTTGCCTAATGGCCTTTTGTTTACGCGCCGAGATCGAATCAAACGCGTCAGTCAAGATGCCTGGCGGCCATGTTTGAATTAAAACTTGTAATTATTTTTATACATATATCTATATTTGAGTCGTGCCGCGCTTAGATATAATTTTTGTTGACTATTAAAAGCAAAATTGTAAAACCAAAATTATTCTCACGAAATTTGAGATAGTCCCTAAACTGAAAAATGCTAACGACCTTGTATTTCAAGTCAACGAAAAACTGCTCTTGGGGCGTGCCGCGCTTAAATTTAATATAAGTTATGCTAGAAATTAAAATTCAAAAGGTCAAAATGATTTTTGAAGCAATCTAAATAGTCCGCAGTACATGACCTATGTAACTTTGACCTGAGGTCACTCTGCAAATTGACCGTGCCGCGCTTAGATTTTACCCTCATTGAATTGGGAAGGTCAAATTGTATAGTCGAAATCATTTTTGAGTCATTCTGAGTAGTCCGCAGACCATTTATTTCGAATATGAATCTGAATCCGAATATGTTCGGCGAACTAGGCGGACTCATTTGACCACGCGGCAAGTCATTTCAAGTCATTTGACTCCTGGCGCTGGTGAGGGGAGGTGCTGCTGCGGGAGGCACTCGGCTCGGTGGATTTATTTATTTGACATTACAGGTCGGCCACGCATGTTGATGTGGAGGTTCGAGGCCATTTGTTGAGACACAATTCTTTTATATGCTTGGGAGTGTTCGTGATATCGTGAATCGTGTGATGTCTTCATTATTGCTTTGCTCTACGGTATCGTAGTAGCTCCCTACCTAATTTGTGATACATTTTTTGACATTTGGATTTGCCTCTTTAGACATGACAAGCTCTCTTCAATTGGGAGTCTTACTTGATGCCTATTCTGAAAGTTGAATATGCTGAAGCTATTCCGAAATCAGTCATTTTGCATGGTCCAGAAGTGTTTTCTGACATGAATTGCAAAGTTTAAATTGAATTATCTGACTCCCCATTTTTCAGGCATTGTCTCAGCATCAAGATGTCATTTGAGAAGAGGCTGGAGGATGTGATTTTGAGGCTGTTTGATGTGCAGGGAGTCAAGTTTGGACAGTTCACTCTGAAGAGTGGACTGGTCTCCCCCATATACTTTGACCTCAGGGTAGTAGTCAGCTACCCTGAGTTGATGGTAAGCCTATTTATAGTCACTGAGCTTAACCCGCGCCCTGCTGGGGGGGGGGTGTTTGAACACCCCCCCTTGTGGTTTTTCGCGAATATCTCAAAAACGGCGGCGCGGAGCGCCGCCGTTTTTGGTACACCTTATCATACATCAATTCTACACATGTTGTGAAAATTTCAGACCAAGGTCATTCAAGGTCAGGTCACCAGGTCACTTGAAGTGACCTCACCTCATAAAAAGTTTCAATGTCTGCCATAGCTACACCGAGTGACCGATCGCTTTGAAACTTTAAGCGATTGCTAAGAGCAATAGCATGTACAAAATGTATATCTCAGAATTTTGATATCGATGACCTAAGGTCAGGTCAATTTTGCGACCTCCCCATTATAAGTCAATGGGAGAAAATTGAAATGCGCTTCTTTTGAACAAAAGACATTATAAACACTCCCAAACACTGGATTACAAGTGGTTTAGACTTACTTAACATGAAAATGGTGTCTGTGACCCCTGTTTATGCCCTGAGGTCATCTTAGGTCACGAATGGTATCTAACAGTTTTTCGCAAATAACTTTTGATAGAGGCATGCTAGAGCGATGAAAACGCCTTAGATGTGTTCAGCTTGACGATACGGATCGACTGATATGCAACATGACCCTTTCCGGTCAGGTCATGACCTTGACCTGAGGTCAAATTTTCAAGTTGACCTTTCAAGGTCAAGTTATAGTTCATTCGATGCGTCTTGACGAGAGGAACACGATGCCGGTAAAAGTAAGCTCGTACAAGGCTTGGGTCAAAAGTTATGGCAGAAAAACTGTTTTCGAAAAAATCGGCTATTTTGGCAGTTTTTGCCCCCTGCAGGCAAAACCGTTGACGTTAGGTCAAATCTGAGGAAAATATTCAGAAAGGGCGTTAATAGGGCTATCGAATGCGCTTTTCCGCGGCGCTGTAGCTCTATTGGTTCCCGAGTTATGCGTTGGCTTCTTGGAAATTGTCGACATTCGACCTGGAAATCGGCGAAATTTTGCCTTCAATGACCTCTGGTGACCTGACCTTTGACCTGACCAAAAAATTGACCGAAGTGATTTCGTCATTATTTTTGGCGCTCTTTCGAACGCCGCCTTCCGCGTATCGCTACGTGGCCCAGGAGCCGAGTTAGAAGGGGGGGTGTTCAGACACCCCCCCCCCCCCAGCAGGGCGTGGAAATCCAGGACCCCCAGCCGGGCGCGGGTTAAACCTTGGCACCTCTGCCTGCATTTAATGTCCAAATTATCTTGTAGGAAATTCACATAAAGGTAATAAAATTGACTATGCTCAGCTAGGTTGTCATTCTGCAGGTTTTTTCTGGTACATTATATCCTCATTATGATTAAGCTACACTCTTTCACAGGAGGATGTGGCTGACCTGCTGTGGGAGTGCCGCCCCAAGGACGCCCAGTTCACCTCGGTGTGTGGAGTGCCATACACTGCCCTGCCTATGGCCACCATAGTAGCCACCAAACAGGTAGGCTGGGCCACTCAAATACCCTGGGCTGGGCATAGGTACTATGGGCAGAGGTGATTGTCAGGTATGCTGAGGGAAGCTCTCATTAGTCAGTACCAATGGCTAAGATCATGATCTTTGTACCTAAACTAACCTTACACTGACTAATGATCACATTTTATTTGGAATGAAGCCAAGATTGCCTTTCCACTTTCCAGCAGTGTCACAAAGTTAAAATTTGCCTTGGGTATCAGACTGGAAAATCCCTCACCAAAAAGTGGGATGACCACCCGAATGGGGGTGGGGGTAGGGGTAACTGACCTCAGAGGTAACTGTTTCACTTGTGACATTAAAATAGGTCACCAATCGCTGTGTCTTGTAATGGTGCGTGCTCTGTTTTTTTCCGCGACGCTCTAGCTAAATTTGCGGTGAAACGTGAAGGAGGGGTCTTCACTCGCCCTGTACCTATGGTCCCGCATGACGAAATAGCGATAGGTCCGGCTTAAGTCAAGCTATGTAGGGTTAACTTCTTAATATTTGCGACAATAATGTATTTCGGGCTTGCGAAAGCTATGAATCCTTGGGATTTGGGAGTACGTGGCGTAACGACACCCCTTACCATGGCGTGGATAGGAACTCCTGTCGTCTTTTTCCGCGCCCGAGAGTGCTCTTTGTACTTTGTACCTAACTAGAATGCGTTTGAAATGAATTGATCGGTTTATACAAACGGCTCCGGGGTCTGCGCGCCAGTAGCCGCTGTATGATACTGTGCAGACGTCGGCCAAGGGCCAGTGCCAGACCCCGCGATGACGTGTGTAAAGGGACGGCAGTAGCACTCTCCGGAGGTATTTCGACACGCTGTGACCTGGAGCGTGTCAGTATACCGGTCATGAAACACGTGATTTGGAGTTCGCTCATGAAGTCACTCACGACAGTCACGAGTTCTCTTTCCCGTTCTGTACGTAGCCGTTGACAGCCCACACGCTCAGATATGGCTTGTTTCATTTAACTGACACCAGCTGCTGCTCCCACCATACACGTCTGTGCTCCCACCAACCGCAGACCATCCCATCAGAAGCTGTCAGGAGTCTAATTTATGGAGCGCCGGAGAGACTCGAACCAAGGCCCCCACTACCTAGATCCTGGTGCCGTCTGTGTCGTTATGATGCAGCCCAAATTCATTTATGATTGTGTTTGATCAGCGTATTTGATCGTATTTGTGGGATCATGTGCCGTTCCTACATGGGAAGCTTGCTAAGACCTGCAAAAATGACGTGGAATTGAGTTCAGCCACGCGAGGATTATCCTGAGAAGTACACACAGTCGTGCCATCCCGTATCTTAGCCCGGTTTTCCGTCCCGCCAGTGGTCCCATGTGCATTGTGCAATGTGCAGGATATTGTCATTGACATACCTTATCCAGCCAATGACCGGTCATTGCGCCTCGTTGTCCCTGTCACTCGTACCTAGACTGCACAGGAAGCACCCATTATGCACAGACACAAATGGGGAGGCACTGGGTTGGGTATTTGCATCATGCAAGGGTTTGATGAACGTGACCAATCGGGGTGGCGGATGTGAGGTCGCATGGAAGGTTTTCTCGGTGGCCAATTTTACCTTTTTAGGATATATTTTTTTGTGACACGTGTTTGTTAGATTTCCGAGAATAAGACACTTTTTTGGAATGCAACCTCCTGTGTCATCTACACTCCACATCTGCTGCCAATACACATTTAATGCATCCCACACCGTTGCGTCCTAGGCCGAACTCGCCCAAATCCAGACATCAGTTACAGAGGGCCCCACACCACGCGATCGCTATCACTTTGAGACTGTCCGGCCGCCTGGCAACACACCTCGGTGACCTGACGCGTGACCTTGAACAGGGGCACAGCGCGTGCCGAGGTGGCACGGTCGACGTATCCGCGGTTACGTTACGACACGCGTCGAATGAGGGAACTTGTTTGAATGGCGAACGACCTTGTATGGATGTCTGTTGGAATGCGGGAGCCACTAGAGGGTGGAATCTGGATGTAGTCGGCTGGTACTCACGAGGCGGCTTGGATAATTGATTTTTTTCAAATCTGGTTTGTTACGGGCCATTTTTTAGCTATTTAACGGCTTGTTATTTATTATCCCTCGCCAGTCTAACCATGCGTGCCTTTTCCCTGATTACTTAGGACATCCAGAAGACATCTCCCCAGTCCCTACTCCCTCGACCCTTATATCATTGCACTCAATCGTCTCGGAGTCACTGCTAGTGCTGGCAATGTATCGGAGCCGCGCGTCGAACACACATGCCACTCCGGGTCGGCTGCACAGCCCGGGTCTCAGGTTACGCTGCGGTCTGCAGAGCGGCAGAGGGGGTCAGTGGGGCGGGGGGAGGGGTAGAATGCGGGCCAGAGGGGCGGGGAGAGGGGTAAAGAGGGCAGCGTCTGGTCTGACCGCTGGAATACTACCTACTGGGTAGTACACAAGTCGGCGGCGGTGTTGGATTTCAATAGATAGCGCAGGTTCATAGCGCTGGTAAGGGCTTCTGATGTTTGACGCCTGAGGCCTGAAGTCTGCCGAGGGAGCGGAGAGGGTTGGTTACTAGGTGACCGCATAGGTCGATTTCTCCAGTGTCAGAGTGCCATACGTCCCTCAGTCATTAATTGAATTAATTAAAAATGCACCTTCCAGAGTGGGAGGTGATGCTTGAGAGCACGGGTGAAGTGTAATGAAGCACTTATTCGTAATCGCTCTATTTTCACTTTATTTTCTGAGCTGAATAGTGTAAAGCCACGAGGCCATGCAGCTTGGACGCCTCATCTGCACCAACAACCTTACCTATCCCCCCACTCCACATCTGCGTTTTGACCGTCCCGATCCTGACGGTGCCGCCCTCCTGGCGCCCGCAGAAGCTGCCGATGCTGATCAGAAGGAAGGAGGAAAAGTCCTACGGCACCAAGAGGCTCATCGAGGGCCACTTTAAGGAGGGCGACAACTGCTTCATCATCGAAGACGTCATTGTCAGCGGCTCCAGCGTCTATGAGACGGCCGTGGTGAGTCGAGTAGACTGCCGTGGTTTCATACCGCCGTGTTCGTGGTGAGAAACTTGGTCAGGCCTTGGGGGTTCCAGCTCCGCTGTGGTGAGTAACTTGGTCAGGTCAGGCTTCGGGGGTCCTAGCTCCGCTGTGTTGAGTCGGCGGCTGTGGTAGTTTTACACCACCGTGGAGAGTTGGTCATTTCGTTTGTTTTGTTAGTTTTGTGTTTTGTTTGTTTTGTGGCTCGGGAGTGTCCCGTGGGGACCGCCTGCCGGTGCCCTGCCGCTCAAATGGCCACCCCGGAGACGGTGAAGTCATACGTGATTTTCCCTTCACCACCCGCTCTCTGGTGGGGGTGGTCGCCAGCCCGGGAAGGGAGGTGTGAGGGTTAGTCGCTGACGCTCGAGGTCATTTTGCTTATCTGTTGTAATGGGAAAGTATTGCTTCAACGTTTTTTTTTCTAGTTAGCCACAATATGCCTCTTTTTATCCCTTTTCTTTATAACGGAATACAACAGTTAGAGCGAAAACAGAAAAAGTGAGTAGTTTAACTATTTAATTGGTACGCATTGCCCGGCATAAAATCATCCAGATGAGTTTGGTCATTCATTAGAGCTCCCTTCAAAATGACGAAATAGTCATTGACACTCGAACATAAACTGAATCTTGCATAAACACAACTAATGCCATACCGTAGTGTCGAAACATAGGGACAGTGCTGTTTGTACCCTTTCTAAGCTCTTAAACTGCTGCGTACTCAAATATACAGTGGTGGATGACGTCACGTAGTGATGCAATGCAACCTTATCCAAATCGACTCCGTCCCCTTGAGGTCATTCAGCAAGGTTTAATACTTTGCGATGAGATAACGCGAGCGACCGGAGCATTCTGGCAATGTGATTTGAGCGTACCATTTAGTTTGTTGGAGCGTATCATTTGACAGCATCAATTTTAGTGAACTTTTTTTTGTTATTATCAGTGTGGAAGGGCATGCGACTCACTGTAATAGATTACCTCCCTGGAACCCGGCAGATGCCCTGGCCGTATCCGCAACGTATCGAGCTGTGGCCTGGAGGCCTGCCCTGCTCTGCCCTGCCCTGCCCCGCTCTGATCTGTGCTGCCCTGTGTCAGAAACCCTGCGCTGCCCTGCCCTGCCCTGCCCTGTCCTGCCCTGCCCTGCCCTGTCCTGCCCTGTCCTGCCCTGTCCTGCCCTGTCCTGCCCTGCCCTGCGCTGCCCTGCCCTGACCTGCCCTGACCTGACCTGACCCGCCCCTCTTCTCCCCGCCAGTCGCTGCGCGGCTGTGGCCTGGAGGTGACCCACGCAGTGGTGTTCATGGACAGACAACAGGGCGCCACCAACAACCTCAAGAACCTGGGAGTCACCATTAAATCGGTGTGCGACATGGAATCGGTAAGTGGAGGGGGGGGGGGGGTCATAAGGATGGGGCTGGGCGTTGTGGGGCCAGAGGAGAGCTTTGGTTGGATGGACTGTCGTTAGTGTCAGTTGGGGATTGGGGTTGACGTGTTGGGTGTCTGATGGTTCTAGGGACGGCAGGACGAGCGATGTGTTGTGACTGAGGGGTGGAGGAAGGCCAGGGGATGCAGCTAACTAGACAATAGACATAGAGGAAGTATTTGAGACAGGTCGGATTCAGGGTGTGGTCGGATTGAACATCAATGTGGTCTCAAGTGCGGCAGGAATAAGGCAGGATGCACCTGTCGACTTCGGCGTCAGAAACCCATGCCTGTCTCAAGCGAATTCGTAAGCAATGACAATGGGCGTTTCTTCATTTTTGTAAATCATATGTGTAACTCGTTGTCGACTGTCTATCTCCAGATGCTGAAGATCCTTCTGAGGAACAAGAAGATCACCGAGGCGCACGTGGACTCTGTGAACAGGTTCCTGAAGGAGAGCCAGGAGACCATCATCAGGAAACAGCCCGCAGGTCGGTGGGTCAGGGTGGGGAGGTCGGCGGTTCGATTCCCAGCTGGGTCCTCTTTACGATGCATTTATGCGGAAATGGCGAGAGGGAGGATCCGGCCAGTCCCCCTCCCCCACCGCCCTCACATCGGACAGTGGCTCAAAGGAGTCTGTCGAGTGTCTGTCCTTGTTGAACTGACCTGACATGACTTGAGCTGACCTCCCCTCGTCACCCAGATGCGCGCCTCTGAGGAGTCTTTCAGTCGCCTCTCTCGATGACCCTGCTGACCTGCCCTGCGCTAACGTCCCTCCCCCTCCCCCAAAGGCTCAGAGAAGGAGTCTGTGGACCGCCTCTCTATGTCGTTCTGAGTTCTGACCTGACCTCCCCTTTACAGACGGCGCCCCTGATAAGGAGTCTGTGGGCCACCTCTCGATGTCGTTCTGACTTGACCTGACCTTCCCTTTACAGACGGCGCCCCTGATAAGGAGTCTGTGGGCCACCTCTCGATGTCGTTCTGACTTGACCTGACCTTCCCTTTACAGACGGCGCCCCTGATAAGGAGTCTGTGGGCCGCCTCTCGATGTCGTTCGGTGACCGGGTAGCCACCACCTCGCAGCCGCTGGTGCGCCGCCTCCTCCGACTGATGGAGGAGAAGCGCACCAACCTGTGTGTGGCCGCCGACCTGGGCACGGCGCGGGACGTACTCCAGCTGGCTGAGAAGGTAAGAGAAACAACGGGGAGGGGGCAGCGGGGATGGCGGTGGTGGCGACGGCGTATGCTTACGGTGGCTATCCAATATTTGTTTATGTTCTGCTTGGTCTACGAAATCAACTGTATCTTACTAACATTGCAAGATTCCAGTATATTTTCAATGTCGGATTCCCTGCTATGCTATGCAGTGTTCAAGCTGTTCCATGTTCAGTGTCAGCGACCTTTCCGGCCAGTCGTCCAGTTTTATCTGCAATCCGATGTCAGCGCATCCCAGTGTTGAATCCCGTGTGAATGCAGTGGGCTTTCTTCCCGTAGTTATTAGTGTGTTCACAGTTGTATTTATTTTCTATGCCATTGAGAGTTTAACCAATCACTACCGCTCAGTGTCCAGCTATCCGTCTAATATTCATTTCTCTGTCACAGGTGGGCCCGCACATCTGTCTGCTGAAGACACACGTGGACTCTATCTCCGACTTCACGGCCGAGTTTCCCAAACAGCTGACCGAGCTGGCCGAGCGGCACAACTTCCTCCTCTGCGAGGACAGGTGAGGCTGCCGGGAGGACAGCTGAGGGTATGAGGACTGGGGAGTGAGGACACATTAGGACTTGGTAGGGATCGCTGGCGAACACAGGACACCAGTTCATGTTTCGCCAAACGGGAAAATGCTTATTAGAATCAGCTCAAGAGAGCACATTTTTATTTACTTATTGTTTCGATGAAAACGATATTTGCTGCTGCTAGTAATTTGCAGTCCAGTAAGTTTGGTTTCTTTCTCAATTCCCATACTCGTTCCACTGAGTGTTCGCTATCATCTACCATCTTTCATCTTCCTCCTCAGCACCCTCTCAGTCTTTCATCTCATCCCAGCGTCCTCTCACTTTGCAGCACTCCCCTCTCGCCTTCCTCTACCCATGCTCGCCATTTCCTCTCACCTATCACTTTCTCACACCATATCTCACCTCCTCCCCCAGGAAGTACGGCGACATCGGCAGCACGTCTGCCGACCAGTACTCCTCTGGTCTGTTCTCCGTGAGCAACTGGGCGCACCTGGTCACCGTGCACGCGTTGCCAGGCGACGGCCAGCTGACGGCGCTTTCCGACCGTGCCGCCGGCGCCGAGCGCGGCGCCCTGCTCGTGGCCGAGATGTCCTCCAAAGGGTGTCTGGTGCAGCCCGCATACACCGCCGGTGAGCGAGGGGAGGGTAATGTTTTGATGGAATGGAGTGACTGTGTTTGCTGTGTGTTTTTAACATACGGTAGTTCGCGATTCTGCTTATTATTTGACATGGTTTTACATTTGAGCATTCGAAATGTCGTGATCCATAATTGTCAATGCTCTCGGTCTCTGCTAAGTCCAGCCTTCTTAGAATTTTTCTTAATTTACCTTTGCTGATCATGCGGTGTTTAGCGTTTCGCGTATAGTATTACAATTGTGGCGTCCACCTTTGCCGCATGTTTTACCTCTTGTTCTATTTCAGCTGAAGGATTATGGCCATTGTGTTGTTCCGTCTTCGTCGCTGGCCGTTCCGTGTCCCGCCCTGACCCCCCCGCCCCGCCCTCCATCTTACAGCGGTGGTGAAGATGGCCGAGGCGCACCCGTACTTTGCCTGCGGCTTCATCGCCCAGTCGTCGGTGACCTCCGACCCGCGGTTCCTGGTGCTGACGCCCGGCGTGAGCCTGGTCTCCACGGCAGACGGCCACGGCCAGCAGTACAGCTCCCCGGAGAGAGCCGTGGGGGAGAGAGGGGCCGACGTGGTGATCGTGGGCCGCGGCGTCACCCGCGCAGAGGACCCGGCCGCCGCCGCCCGCGAGTACGCGCAGAGGGCGTTCGGTGCCTACCTGCAGAGGCTGAAGTAGCGGGAGAGTGGGAGGGAGAGACGGCAGAGGAAGAGAAGGAGAAGAAGAGAGTGCTTTTTGAGTGAGAGCAGCTGGGTAGGGAACCAATTGAGCGGAAGATAGAGTTAAAATGGGCATCTTTTCTGAATGTTTGAGAGCAATGTGACAAAATGCTCAAAACCAGGCTGTCGTGTCATTCCCATTAACTGGAGCTAATTGTTTTGTTGTTACCGTCATCGCCAAAAAGGGAATGAGCACAAGTATGTGTCTATATAGTGAAATCAGCTGTTTGGCCTGCATCTTTTTACAACAGCAAGGTGGTATTGGAGATTCAGAAAAGTTACTCGTATCAGATATACTTAGGGCATTGCATAGGGGTAGTGTGATGAAGTCAGATGTTTGAAACGCTGTGACGCCGCTGTAAATAAGCAGAAGTGGTAACGAGGGTGCAATCTCGTCACAGTTGTAACTTTATTCCGGCAAGCTGCCCCGCCTGTCCCGGGGCTGCGTCATAGAGCGTCTTGGACTGAGTTTGGGAAACGTGTGGACTGTGAGGCTGCCGTGCATTTAGAATGGCTTGGAGAAGCGGCTCACAGTGACCATGTAGAAAGGCTTGGTGTGTTCGCCAGTTGTGTTTTATCTGGATGTGCAATTGTATCAGGCCTTTGCTAAGGGCGTGAGATCCCAACATTCCGTACCCGAACGTTATTCCATTGTTATTCCATGATTACCCCATTGTTATTCCATGACTACTCCACTGTTATTCCGTATTATCGACCCAGGGCTTGGTTTCGCAAAGCGATTCAATAACATGCGTCATTTTTGTTCCTTTCTCGTTTTTTTTTTTCAGTCTTTCTGGTTAAAGTAAATAAATTTGTCACAAAATACAATCCTCATATCCGTCATAGATACGTTGGCAATTAAATGTAAAAAGTTTGTTGTCGAATCGCTGTATGCAACTTGGCCCCGGTGCCATGCATTATCCCGCCATACGTGCACCACCGATTATAAGTGTCGTGTTAGTTTTTTCACAGTCGTTTTGTTGTAAGGATACTGTAAGCACAAGTTGATAAAACATTGACATTCATGACTCGCCACTCAAGGTACAACAATCGTGCCATTTCCGAACAGTTCAGGGCCGCTTGCTCTTCGCCGACTTGATCCAGTGCATCGTGATGAACGTGGTGCGATATGACCACAAACACGGGACTGGCCTCCCGTAGGAATCTCGTGTGTGTCTGGCCTTCACGTTGCTGACTGCGTGTCGTTCCAGCTTTGATGCACTCTCTGCGTCTATTGCTGTTCGACTTGTAGTCACTGTGTATGCGTGCGGCCAATTTGATGAGGGTTATGGGTTTGCGACAAGGTGTACGTATTTGACGTCCGTTCATGAAATCGGCCGTTGTTTGTTGGGAACAATGTGGTGGTTCCATCGAGCACATTGTGGTGAATCCACAACTAGCCCACCAGCGTATTACCATGACCGCTCCAGAAATGTCGGAATTAAACAGTGCCAGTGTTCATGCTTTCGGCGTTTCGCAGCCAGTTCGAGCCAGGAAACTATTTGATACCATGTTTACGAGCATGCCATGATTTGTATCGCAGAATGCTTATCTCAAAGCATGTGCCTTAGCGAAAGTGAGGTCTGATGTCTACCCAGTATGTGTAGCTGAATGAAAATACATATGTAGACGAGTAACACGATGCATCTGAGTGCACCTCAAAGTATGTTGACGCGAGACACTCGGTGGATGACGAGGCTGTTTGAAGTGCTCATGGTCTTACCCTACAAGATGTTGCATCTTTTATTTACTGTTTATATTAGCTATAGAACCAAGAACAAAACAATCCGTTGAGAGCAAGGTCACTGAATAAGCCGACACAACACATCTTTGAGGTCCCGGGATGGCGGAGGCAAAAGAAGACCTTTTTGCACCCAATTTAGGTGGCAGTGCACACATTTCAGTAATAGTGCAGGCGATTTCGACAGTACAGCAGTCTGTCTGTCTCTGACAAACTGTCGAAATCGGTTTCACTGCTACTGAACTCTGTGCACTATGCCTTTAGTTGCCCGTAAATCCATTATGCTTCCTTGACCTCTGACATGAAATAATGGTTTTTGCCTTTGAACGGCAGAAAGGTGCATGTGGACTATCCAGATACCTAAACGGGTCCAATGTACCGAGGAAATTCATCATATCACACCGTCCAATTGCAAACAAAATATCGCTCGTATCACCTTCACTCCAGAAACACAGCAGCACTTTTTCCGTCATCCGCATCATGAAGCCTCCCCCATCATCAGCCAAACGCCTCTGCACCTAAACGTTCGTCCTCCAAACATATCTCCTCGGAAGCCTCCCTTACAACTTCTCCGTGCTTTTCCCTGCCCCGAAACGCCCATCCTCTCAGTATCTTCGCGCTCCTAAAAGCCCTTCAAACATCTTCCTCTTCACAAACGCCCTGCTAACCATCACTCCGCTCCTCCTCCAATCCTCTCTCACCGTCCTCCCAAACGCTGAGCTCCTCTCGGCAGAATGTATTGTGTGCGAGAGAGCAGGGGCGGCGCGCAGGCGCACCCCCCACTGGAATGAACAGGCCGGTGTCAACGAGAGGTCCGCGGCCGCGGCGAGCAGCGGCGCACCCGCGGCGAGACGCGCAGCGAACGCCGCAATTATCAGCTCCGCCTCCGACAGCGCGCGCGCGCCGCCGCAGCGCGCCACTATCGTCTCACGCACACACACAGGTCGCCGCGCGCGCCACGAGCGGCGCAGACGCGCCACGGGCGTCGCGGGATCGCCGGCACAGAGGTATGTCTATAAAAATAGCGCGCGTATGGCCGCGTCTGGGCGCGGGCCGCCGGCCGGGGCCAGCGGCGCGCCCGGCGCCCGGCGCGCGTCCCTGGCATGTGGTGTGTACTATGTGGGGTGGTATGTGTCCGTCTGTCGCTCGGCCGGCGCCGCAGCTCACTCGGCGCCCGCAGCCGCCGTCTCGGCCGCCGCCGCCGGGCCCTCGTCGGGCCGCGCGCGCTTGGCCGCCGTCTCGTCGGCGCCGGCGTCGGCGTCGGCGGGGCGCTTCAGCTCGGAGCCGTCCGGGGCGGGCGTCGGGTCGTCGGCGGGCGCCGGGTGGTCGCCGGTGCCGTTGGCGCCGGCCTCGGCGGCGGGCGCGGCCGGGGGCGGCATCGAGGCCGAGTCGTCCGCTCCGGACTGCGGACAGAGGGGACGAGAGAGGTCAGAGGGGCAGAGTCGACGACAGTCAGTTTTACACGAGTGGAACTGATGAGATCCAAAATATCGAGTCAGGATGAGTCGGGACAAATGATTTAATTGATAAGTTTCAATCGAGACCCTATTCGACTCTTATATAAACCCGGTGGCACAAGCTCAACATTCAACAACAGATATGGGTTTAACATGACACATAGCCCGACCTTCACCGACCCACTGCTTCCCCTATTCACCCGTACACATTCATCCGCCAGTGCCACTGCATCCCCAGTCCGTCCAACCCACCTGAATGCCGTCGTCGGCCGGGTTTGATTCGTCGCCAATGTTGGAGAAGTTGGAGTTGGACTCGTCGCCCATGTTGGAGTCCTCGAACGGCGCGATGCCCGACGACGCCTCTGTCGACGGAATCTGGAATCACGCGGAATCGCGGTCAGTTGGAGCCAGCGTGTCCAGTCGAGGTAAGGGAAGGCGCCGTGCAGTCGGCCTCACTATGGATCACACCGTCCAGAACAAACTGGGGGATGCTAAAGGCCGAGCTACACTGGAGTATGTGGCTGTGTTTTATCAGGATTGCTGTGCTTCATGGACTTCCTTGTTATCGGTTCCTGCGGCTTTCAACTATCGCATGCTTACGTAAGCATGACAGCTAGCGAGCGCCATGCCGATAGACAAGCAATAATTTTGAAAGGCTCTTTTAATACCATTAAATATGTTCATTTTGTAATATGATCGGCAATCAAACAGAAACAAATCGAAATGATAATAATTAATTATCAATTACGTCGCTTGAATTCACATGGTGCGCTACCCATTACGCTAACAACTGTCTCATCTCACGCCAGCCAGGCAGATACTACAAAAAAGTTCAGAGTTCTGAACTTTATATCGGTACTGACAATCCTGACTATCCGTGATTTCCTAATTCCTTGACTGAATGAACGTGATCCGCAGTGTAGCCGACCCAGGGCGTGTAATTCTTAACGGCTGAACTTGGTCTGCGTGCCGACTTCACGCCAAACCCGATTGAACGCTGGACACGCGCGCGATTTCCTGGAGCCTAGAGGATTACGTCTGGCTTGTTAACTGTCGGCACCGTCTGTGGAGTTTCACCGAGTCGTTGGTGTGTCGATCTCGGCGGATGACGCGGACCCCTGACACTCTCAGACATTCTCCGACACTTCCTCTTGAGTTTCACTGATTCATTGGCATTGTCTACCTTAGCGGCAGGTCGGGCCCCTTCCCTTCCCTCGGGACAGTCTCAGACACCCGCGTACACCCCACACCGTCCCTCACAGAGTCGTTGGTGTTTTGTTGGACCCCATCACACACACACACACCCTCACGGGGTTCTTACCGAGTCGTTGGTGTTTTCGTCCAGCTCGGCGGCGGAGGTGGACGCAGCGCCGTCGCAGCTGTTCTCGGCCGAGCCGGCCACATCGGGCGGACTCTGATCGCCGTTTGTCTGTCCAGAGGGAGAGCTCACAGTTAGACAGAACAGGGGACAATAGAGTCGGACACAGCGTGAACACCACATCGGGCGGACTCTGGTCGCCGTTTGTCTGTACGGAGAGAGAGAGAGAGAGAGAGAGAGAGAGAGAGAGAGAGAGAGAGAGAGAGAGAGAGAGAGAGAGAAGAGAGAGAGAGAGAGAAGAGAGAGAGAGAGAGAGAGAGAGAGAGAGAGAGAGACAGAGGAGAGAGACAGAGAGAGAGAGACAGAGAGACAGAGAGAGAGAGAGAGAGAGAGAGAGAGAGAGAGAGAGAGAGAGAGAGAGAGAGAGAGAGAGAGACAGAAAGAGACAGAGAGAGACAGAGAGAGACAGAGAGAGACAGAGAGAGACAGAGAGAGACGAGAGACAGAGAGACAGAGAGAGAGAGAGAGAGAGAGAGAGAGAGAGAGAGAGAGAGAGAGAGAGAGAGAGAGAGAGACAGAGACAGAGACAGAGAGAGAGAGAGAGAGAGAGAGAGAGAGAGAGAGAGAGAGAGAGAGAGGAGAGAGAGAGGAGAGAGAGAGAGAGAGAGAGGCAGAGACAGAGACAGAGACGAGAGAGAGAGAGAGAGAGAGAGAGAGAGAGAGAGAGAGAGAGAGAGAGAGAGAGAGAGAGAGAGAGAGCGACCAGTCAGACACAGACAGCAGACAGACAGCAGAGTCTGATACAGTCAGACACAGACCACAGAGTCGGACACATCACCACATCGGGCGGACTCTGGTCGCCGTTTGTCTGTGCGGAGAGAGAGCTCACGTCAGACAGAACAGGGGACAACAGAGTCGGACAGAATCAGACACAGAGCCACGTCCGGCGGACACTGGTCGCCGGTTGTCTGTCCAGGGGGAGCTCACAGACAAACGCAGACATTACAGGTATTAGACAATGGCAGACACAGTGCCAACTGACAGCTACAGACAACTGCCAGCCAATGTCGAATACCAGGGACGCGTAGAAAACACACTTCGCAATACACGCAAGAGAGGAATCTCACGGAGACGCCTCCCTTTCCAGCCCCACGGACCCAGCTGTGTCCTGTCGACATACCTTGACCTCCGGCTCTCCGACCTGCTTTGTGTCGTTCCCAGCTCCGTTCTGAAACACGGACACGGAACAGTAAGGAAATGACAAATTCAGGACATTAAGTACAGAGCGGGGATCAGCAGGCATGAAACGAGTGAGCGTTAACGCATGGAGCGGAGGCGGGAGGAGAAATAAATCTTCAACAAGCCTTACAAAACAAAACAGCAGCGATGGTCGAGATTGCCTGAGTGCTCAGGTGGACTTATAGCACCTCCAAATCACACCATTCCGGTTTTCGCCCGGACTAGGATGTCCCCTACCGGGACCCCCGGCTAACCCACCTCCTTGCCGTCGCCTGCTCCGTTGGCCTCTCCGTTGGCCGTGAAGCCGGGCATGCCCTGCAGCAGCTCCGGCTTGTTGTTGACGATCACGTGATGTGCAAACACCACTTGCTCGATCCTGTGAGGCGTCCACTCCGCGTTACCTGCCCAAGGCGGTAGGTGGCAGCACCGTCAGAATAGGTGGCAGCACATAACACTAACAGAGGACGGGGCGACGGCCCCAGTTCGGGGAAATGAGTTATCGTAGAGCAGGAACGGTAACGGGTCATCGTACACAGCATTCGTGACGTAAGAAAGTTGTCTACATGGTCAACACACATACAAATCGCAAATCAAAAAATTCAAAACGAAAACAAAATTTAGCTGAGCCATTATTCGAACGTCAAATCTTTAGAATGCACCACAAACAGACTACGCCCGGCCCCATCCGGTGTTTCACACTGGACGCGTTCGCTCACCATTGCGCGCTAGCCTCTCGCAGGCGTTCTGCACGTGCTGTACCATGCGCAGGTACTCCTTGTTGGTATAGTCGATGGATCCCTCCACCTCCTGAGTGGCGAACATACACTCATCCGACATGAACGGGATCTTGTCCGGCTGGGCGACCGAGAGAACAGCTGAAATAGGCGGAGCAGAGAGCTGGGTCAGCTGGGGGAGGACAGGCGTGGAAAGGGAATACACTGACTGGTGGACGTAGTGGCCTCAAATCTTGGCCCTGTTCACGACACGCCGCCGCCTGACGCTATCAGGTAAGGACGCTCAGTTTCCATGGGAACGTAGGCAGCATTGCCAGTTTTTACTTACGTTTCCAATTTCCATAGAAGCGAGCGCCAACAACTGGTAGCGTTAGATAGCATCATGCGCTGAAACAGGGCCCCTAACTATTCCTCCCATCCAAACCCACCGTCGCCAGCTGCCTATTACACTGTTTTGGTCACCAGTGACGTAGTCGAACGGAGTACCACCGATCACCAGTGACGTCATCGCTCCATGAGTCACCAGTGACGTCATCGACACACGTAACCGGTCATCTACATACGCCAGTCACCGCGGCAGCTGGCGGCTCCGGTTCGAGCATTTGCAAGGGAGATTTTGGGTGGGAATTTACCGTTACAAGAGGACTCAACAAACATTTACAGGCAGTTCAAAGGGCGAAGATACAAACAAATAACTAGGCAGTCAGCAGCAGCTGGTTTGAAAAGCGAAAAAATAGCTGGTACAGACTGCAAACTTTTATCTAGACCAGTAAGCTAGAAGCAAACATTGCTTACAACAGTGTCCCTTCCTTTGAGCTCCAAGGGAAAATAAAGACGACAATAAACGACCTTCAATCTGAAGCCTCGTAATTCGCTGAACGTTTAGACAAAGTCCATTTCGCGGCGTTCCCCTCCTGCATTCCAACACCGCGTCACCCGGACGTAACATCAGTATTAGCATAGTGCACGTGCACAGGACAGTGCACTGTACACTGTGCAGCGTGCACCATCGGCCCTGCACGTGACCTGCGCAAGGGGCGCCGCCCTCCTGATTTACCGCTGTCATTACGGTCGAATCTGACATGATAAATACAGGCTTACATGGCCCTTAACCACCTGTCGTCTTAGCATCGCGGATCGGCGCGCTGTCGTCATGACTTCACGTTAGGGACCAACGTCGCTACCTTAGTTAATTGCACTATTATGGTGGTAAGCGACAGGGCTTCGTCATTGGAGTGGATACTAGTGGGGAGGTCATATACCTCATGTGACATCTCAACGAGAAAAAGACAGCCCAGAACTGTTAGTTTTGCCAGAAGAGAGATCGCCGGCTGAGGTATTTTATCTTTAAAAGCCTCAAACAAGTTTCACAAACCAAGCAAATAAATGAACGCTAATGTAGAAACATTAGTTGGGCTGGCTGTTGTTATTGTTCACATCAGCGTTTTCCTTTTTGCGTGCGACTGGCGAAGATCGGGGGCTTTTCTGCCGGGTGATTTTTCTGTTGATAAAACTGACCTCAGGCCACCGTTCCACATCGCCTCCCGTCATTACGGTCGCCAATACCGCGTTACCCCCACCCCCCACCCCGCCCCTCCTGCCGCTCTCACCCGAGGCCATGGCCGGTCCGACGCCCTTTCGGTCGCCAATACCGCGTTACCCCCACGTTCGCCCGCCCCTGCTGCGGTTCCCACCTGAGGCCATGGCCGGTCCGACTCCTTTCAGGTTACACATGGCCTGGATGTCCGAGCTGAGGTCGTCTTACCCCCCCCCCCCCCCAACCCTCCTGCCGCGCTCACCGGAGGCCATGGCCGGTCCGACTCCTTTGAGGTTACACATGGCTTGGATGGCCGAGCTGAGGTCCTCCTTCTTGACCAACTGCCGGATGGCCTTCTTGGTCTCCAGCTGGACGAGCCGAGGTGTGTTCATCGTCACCAGCTCCTTCAGACGCGGCCGCCACTTGCCGCGCTGCGGGAGTCAGACACAGGGGGTCAGATGGGGGACACAGAGGTCAGGCGGTCATCACAGAGGTCAAAGAGGGCAAAAGGGAGCACCGGGGTCAAAGGAAGGACGCACGGAGGTTAATAACTGATCCACGAAAGAAGTAAGCAAGAATTCACTACATGAAAATAAACATTAGTGTTATCTGCTGGTACGGTCAAGAAAAAAGTGTGACTAAATAAGTCATAAGTGTGGCCTAAGTCATAAATACAATCAAAGGAACAACTTTGCATTTAAATACCAGTCAAAGCCACTGTTCTTCTCTTCCGTCAATTTTAACTGCAGATTTAGCTCCCATTCATTCCACTGTGCACCGTCAGCCCTCATGAATGAATGGCCCGACGGGCGACCACGTGACCGTCCCACCGTGTTGACCGGGCCCCCACGATAAATACCGATCGATCTGCCCACCGAACTGAGTCACACAGCCCGCTGTTCACAATACTAACCAGTAACGGGTTAAATAAAGAAACCACAACGGATGTAAGAATCACGCAACGACAAAAAATACCGGAACGACGCGGTTATGGTTGCGTGTTACGATATCGATCACCCCCACTAGTTTCATTACTAAATTCTTCTGAGTAATCCTTGGCATCCCGGCTTTCCATTGAAGCCGACGGTCCAAACACCGGATCAGCCTAGCGAGGGCGGAACTGACGTAACTCCGCCTGCAGTGCATATACCTCCGTCGTCGGATCATACTATCGCAATGCCCCCAGCTGTGTCGCAGCCGCCGGGTTATCTATAGTAGCGGCACGTGGCAGGCCACAAGACATGGGTCGAAAATAGCCGCCCATCGGGGAGGGAGGTCACTTTGAGCTGTCCATTCCGTTCCCGTCGCAGACGCTGGGGTTGATGTGGTGTGTAGGGATGTTGTAGGGATGTTCTAGGGGACGGATCCCGGCGGGGAGAGAGTAGAATAAGGGGGGGGGGGAGATAGGGAAGGGAGGAAGAGAGATCTTGTAAAAATGAAACGAAATTAAAGATTGCAAATATCGCCACAAAATATACGAGCTTGATTGGAAAGATCGCGAACGAGAGAAAGAAAGAGAGAGAGAGAGAGAGAGAAAAAAAAGAGGGAAAGAGAGAGAGAGAGAGAGAGAGAGAGAGAGAGAGAGAGAGAGAGAGGGAGAGAGAGAGAGAGAAACGGAGAGACAGAAGGACAGACACTAGACAGACAGACAGACAGACAAACCCCATCACTTACCGCCAGTTTCCATTTTATTGTCATTACTAATTCTTCGTGGGTCAGGTAACCGCCCTCCTTTGCCCGTGACTGGATCTTCTTTGGTAGTTCATTGTGATACCTGAGGACACACAGAAAGACGCACCGTGAGGCACTGCCGATCGAGGCGACACACACCATACTGGGGCAGACACCGCTCCAAAAGCTGCACTGAAACGACTCACGGGCCTATTTAGGGAAGCCGATGAGGGTAAATGCTGTGGGGCGCCGAACTACATTTGAATGGACGCTTGATTAATGATTAGGTTACGTAAAACACACACACTTTTGGCAGCCTTAGGGCTGATATGGTCTGACTTTTGGCAGCCTTATGGCTGATATGTGCGCACGCCTCTGGAGCAACGGAATGCTACTGGATCTTAACGGGATTTTATATTTAAAGAGTTATTTTTTGTCGAGCTTAGGTAGATAGTTATATAGTCTATAAGGCAATGCTATTGCAGCAGGAACCAAAACAACAAAACATGCACTAATGAGGGCCTGTTCACGTTGTTTCCACACAAATCACTTGATCACCGAGCCTCCACTTCAGTAACACTACCAACCATATCAGTGGCACCGCAATCTCAGCAAACACCCCATCATCCAGTCGCCAACTAATCGCCGCAGCAGCATGCATCACATATCTCTACAGACTGCGGCGATACCCAAACCACCAGCCCCATCTGCTCTAACCTGACCATCACCCCTGGACGCATTGTGTAGCGTCCATATGCGTCCACTGGCGTCCACAGACGTCCACTGACGTCGAGTCCACATCGGGTCCGCGGCGCCCCGGTAACAGCGGGCCAGCCACGGCCACCGCCGCGTCGGCAGCGGCGGCAGCAGCTCGGAGCGGCGTGTCGGCGCCGACTATTTCCGTCAGCGCCGCGCCGGCCGACCGACCGACGGCGCCGACGGCACGGCTGACCGATATATGTACCTTCGACCGACCGACCTACCGACCGATAAACCTTCCCTAGGGACAGACCGACCGACCGACCGACGTACCTTATCGAGTGACCGACCGATCAACCAAGAGACCAACCATGAAACCTTCCCGGTGTCCCACCGAACGACCTACCAATCAACCTTTTCCAGTGACAAGCCGAAAAACTCTCACGGACCGATGAACCAACCCAGCCTCGAAGGAGTTGGAGAAAGGGAGAGCGATTCATTCATTCGTTCATTCAATAAAAGCGTTCATTAGGAGAAGCGCCCAGGTGCATTTCAACATAAAAAATAATTTTCATTCATTAAAAGCGTTCATTAAGAGCAGAGCCCGGTACAATTCAATATCAAAATTATTTTATCAGATTTCACCTTCTTATATCATATATATTTTTATTAATTTCGCTGCGTTGTTATTTAAGACCAGGGCCCATAGGCGCGGGAGCCGGGGGGGGGGGGCAGTGGGGGCAGCTTGCCCCCCCAACTCTGGGGCCGTGGGGGCGGTGCCCCCACAGCTTTGAGACGGAATACCACACTTTTTTTGAAAATGTTTTCTTTTTTTGTTGAAAAAGCCGAGGGGTGAAAAATAAGTGGCCTAAAACCGGTGAGAAAACTAGATTTGGGGGTACCCTAGGTTAATCTCTATTATGGTGTGCCCCCCAGTCGGAAAGTAGTTCCCGCGCCCCTGCCAGGGCCGGGACATTTGTACCGACTATGCACGCATCGTGCGTTAAATGCACAGCGTCAGATTATGTCAATGACAAAATTAGCTTATCATCTGGTAATCTCAAATACCGAGGTCAGCATCAATGCTGACAATACCTGGCGATTGTTGTAACTAAGCAACACAAAATCATGTTCGAATCAGCGTACATAAAGTTTCACGAAGTTGATAAATATGCAGCAATGAGTTAGGCAGCCCGGTTCCTCAGTAGTTCCCGCTGCTCTGGGAGTCGGTTCAAAACTGGCTACCTGTACGACACCCAGAGGTCTCCTAGCGGTCAGCGCAGTCCCATCCCTCACACCTCCCCCGCAATGTGACAGCTCCGGAGAGGCGTGAGCCATTGCTGCAATCCAGCCGGGCAATGGTCGGTATTCAGATATAGCTGAACGCATTCCCCCGGCAGTCCAGGCAATAGATGCTCGGCAATATCCCTCACAAATGGCGCTCGATCTGCAGTGTGTTTCAGCCGGCACGAGCCAGTTCCCGTGCAGTTTCTTTGATTCAGGGGAAAGGTGGCCGTATATGCAAAATAAACCACACAAATAGAAGAGGCGCAAGTCCTTTGATTTTGACATAATCTTCAACTTTTCTTTGAAAATTTTTAGCATGCCAGCAAAATTTGCCCTTGCCGAAGACGCCCACCCCTTACCCACTTTTTATTACCGCGCCGTTCTATGGGGGCCGATTGTCTTTTCATGAGAAAGGAGGCTTGGGCCCGGAGGTCCCCCGGGTTCACTCGAGGCAAAAAAAAGCCAAGGTCACCGTTTCGGATAGCGTGGGACCGAGTTAGGAACGCAGCCCCCAGGGACCGAGTGTTTTTAGTCTATGGGCCAATGCTTTCGCTCAGTACCGACTACAATCAAGTAAGACTGGGGAATCAGCGATAGTGACATATTCAGCGACGGTAAGCGAACTGCCGCACAACTCAGTGCACAGTGCACAGCCTGAACTCGGACAAAGAGTGTGGAATTTTCCACTGCCCCTGGCCCCACCCAGTCAACTACCAGTTTCTCCATTTTACCTGGCTTACCCCCTTCCCCCACTCACGCCCCACACCCGACCCATCTCCCCAGAGGTCCAGGGACCCCCTCTGCCCAAATCCCACCCGGGCCCGACCCAAAACCCGCCCGCGGCAGGGCAGTGGCCTTGCCCTTGTCCGCTAGTTGGCCGGCCGGCCGCCAGGGGCGCCCCGGTCGCGGCGGCCGTCCGGCGCCTCACGTATCGACGCCGGCGGTCGGTCGGTCGGACGGCGCCAGCAGGACAGCCGGCCGGCCGGACGGTCGGCGGGGGCCGGGACGGGGGGGGGGGGGGCGGTGTGCGTGTGGGGTGGATGGTGGCCCTCGTGGAAAGTAGGCAATCGAAAATTGTCACCACTGTTATACAGTATTAGATGAAAAGTTGCGAAAATGATAAGCAATTTGCAAAAACATGCGGACATTTTGTTGAGAGTTGAGTTATTTTGTAATTATGTGCTGAATCGTTTTTTTTCCAGTAATTCTTACTAGAAGTTTGACTCTTCATGGTCCAACAGTCACCACTGAAGCGGGTTCACTACTTTACTTGAATTAAAAAAAAAAAACAGGGAAACAATAATTGTTGTCCTAGGTTTTCTCCTGAATAATAGTATCACTCAGGGAATTCCCCAATTAGCTAAAAGAATAGAGCATAAAAATATACATCCAGGGACGCGGGGCGAAAAGGGACATCCTAACATGACACCTACAGGTGACCACCCTTCACATTCGGCTGTCAGCTCCAGTGTTCAACAGATTTGAGAAACGACATCATGCATCAGCCCTCCATTCCGTTACTCGAGTCACCGCTCAGATAAAATGCTGCAAAACAATGACGACCCAAAACAACAGCAACACAAAATCACGCCACACTAACACCGGAGCGGACACGCAGATACGGCGATAAAGATCTGGCGATTTTCCCGCTAATCCGCCGCCGCAACACGGAGATTTCCGCCAGAAATACGCCGAACACGGACAGAGAAACCGCTCCCCGGCTGAACCAGCGGCCGGCCCGTAATAACCTGTTATATCATTATCGCGCTAAACGGCCGGGGAACCTGCTAAGAAATGGAGCTTAAATAGCTGCAAGGATCGCCCGACGCCGTAAACCAATGCCGGGCCGTGAACGGGGGACTGTGTCTTCCGTAAATGAAAGGATGGTTAAATGAACAGCGATTAGCAGCGGAGGCAGGGGAGTTATCTCCTACAAGAAAATGAACGGGTTCCCAGGCGGGGGCGGGGGGGGGGGGGCATGGGAACTTTAAATACCGAGTACTTTTATCCAACAGTAACATGAATTGCATTTCATCGAAATGAAATATCGCAAAAGGGAAGGTGAAAAATGGGGAAATATTTGTTTAAAGCCAGGCGGGGAAGACATACAAAAAGGTCATTGGTCGAGTCTGTAAGTTCATTGTTTCCTTGCAGCACCGTAAATTATCTCCAGGGAAGAATTATTCATTTAGGGAATCCCTGGCCACCGTTACGCTTAAAGCACACTATGAAGGACGTGATACACTATTCGGGGCCGAAGGAAGAGAGTCCTGCGCCGGCCGACCGCGAACTGCCGCACATCGCGAATCGCGAGTGACCCAATAGGACGAGTCACCAGCGCCCTGTCCGACGGTGCATCGGACGCACCGCCAGCAACTCAGGAAGGCAGCCTGCCGGCGCCCTGTCTGATGGTAAGAAGGGGCACCACCAGGTATACGTCCTACTATGGGTGGCCATGGTCCCTGTCCGACGGCACATCGGACGCACCGCGAGCAACTCAGGAAGAGGCGCCGGCGGCGGTGGATGGGAGCCTGCCTTGCCGCATCGGCAGACATCCGCCGGTACCACGATGCTTCCTATGATAGACTTCCGACGTCCGATACATCCTTCAGACGATACACTTTCCACGCACAAACGCATGTAAGCCACGAGAGAATTAGGAACGACGGTCCCATGCGCCGGGGCTTAGGGGTTTCAACTGCAGATATTTCAGAAGCACACACAGTGTGCATACAATAAATGACACAGGCGCGATGGAAAAACGGTCAGCCGACAGTGGGAGTTCCATAGTCCACATAACAAACACGACCATTGGACGATATATGGCAGGCAGTGTGTGCGTAATGTGGCACTGGAACGGATAATCGAATAAATGGGCGGAATATTCAGTTCGGTTTCTTTTCGCTAAAACACCAACAAATCTAAAAAAACGCATTACTTGTTCTGAGTTACCAGCTACCCAGCTGGCGAGGACAGTTTCGGTCACTTGTTGATACCGTATGCCTGGCGAAACCATTATACGGTCATGCCAGAATAATGCAGCAAAAAGCTTGCACTCGCTTACCGTCTAGCTCAATCACGCTCAATCCCAGGACAATGGTACCCGGGTCAACGATG